ACCCCCCTTGCCGCGCCGCCAACTCACGCAGGCTTCTGGGAGGTCTCGTGGGGGTTGAAAAAAGGGGCCTGATTTTGGACGGGGCCCAGAATCGGCTGATGTCTGGAGCAATGAGATGGGGTTCAGTTCAAACCGGGGGTCAGCCAGAGCGCCGGAGCTTGCAGGATCCTGCAGCGCCAGGGGCGCACTGACCCGGGCTTGCGTGCAGGATCATGCAGGATCCTGCAGGATCTTGCAGGCTCCTGCAGAGCCAGACTGGCCCTCGCTTGCCCTGACCTGGTTCAGCAGATCCCCGACGACATTCGGACGGGGCTAGGACGAGGATAAATCTGTTCCAGAGCGTCCCGGAACGCTCTCAGAGCGGTCGGGAAACGCTCTGAGAAGGTCACTGCGCCCGATGCACCCTCCAGAGCCGCCGGATCTCAGAGATGCTAGATTTTATCTTCACCCGAGTTTATCCTCGTCCTGGCATCGTCTTATGATTTAAGTTCGGCTGCGAGCCCAGGGGGGAAGTCAGAGGGGACGGGCGTTCTCAGACGGCTCTGAAGGCCTCAGGCCTTCTGAGATGTTTTGTGGCGCCCTTCCCGAAGACACAGAAAGCTTCTCAGAGGGCTGGAGGGCTTCTGAGAAACCCCGCCGCCCTCTAAGAAGGCCTGCACCTTCTCACTCCCCCCCCCCCTTCCTCCGCTTCGCCGAGGATCCGTCCAGGCGGCCTCGCGCAGACGTCTGGGAGTTCTCGCGGGGGCTTGCCGCGGGCCCGATCGAACTGACCCTGCGGCCGCTGCTCGGCGGGCCGTCTCGAGCGCACGCTCAGACGTATCGGGGCTCTCTTGGGTGCGGGTTGGCTCTTTGGCGTGCGGGAGGAAACGGGTTCCCCGAGGGAAAAGCGGGCGCTGGGCCCCGTGGCCTCTTTCCCCCCGGGGACGGAGCCACCGCCAGGACGCCGAGAAACACAAGGAACGCCTGGGGTGCGGGAGGGGCCCGCGGCTCCTGAAAAGCTCTTCCAGGGCTCCTCCTCCTCCTCCTCCTCCTCCTCCTCCTCCTCCTCCTCCTCCTCCTCCTCCCTCCTTCTCCTCCTCATCCTCCTCTTCCTCCTCCTCCTCCTCCTCCTCCTCCGTAGCCATTTTGGCTCAAGGCTATGAACCGTCCCGACGACCGCGAGTCTTTCGGGGCGTCCTCAGAGCGCGAGGGAGGTTCGTGCTCCTCCATCACCCCTCGTGCACCTGGGCGCTTCTGGGGCCAAGAAGGGGCTTCGTTCCTTGTCTGGCGTCCCTTCTGAGGCCCGTGGAGGGCCCCGAGGGCCCGAGAAGGGCGACGGACTCTCCGCTCCCGTGCCCCGCAGGACCCGCGGGGTCCCCGTGGCGGTGGAGCCAGCTCGGAGCGGGCCCGGGCCCGTCTCGAGGCGGGCCCGTGCCCTCTCCCACGGGATCCGTGGGGGGGAAACGGCGGAGGGCACCCTTTTGCCGCCGGGGGGGTCCCATCTGATCGCCTCGCGCGTGTGGCCTGCCCATGCCGAGCGAGCTCGGGTCTCAAGAACCCGAT